CCATAGCCAATATAAGAAACTCTGAAAACAAGTTGTACATGTCTAAAGACTTTCAAAATAAAAAGAAAAATCAATAAAGTATTTTGCTATTTGACTTTATCAAAAATATTTGAGCTCATATGGTATGATCAAATAAACTCTAAATAAATTTAAAATGGAGAAATTTTTTTTGCCTGTCTATTTTGGGTTTGTCTAAAACTAAGGTTGAACTAATTTTTGGATCAATAAATAGTCCTAATAAATTTAGCATAAGTGTATTTTTCTAATTACCTGATCAGGCTTCCTAATAAGCCTTCTGATGGAGAAACAATATCTCGTAGATAAAAATTAGATATTTTACAAATTTATTAATGCTCTGTTCTTTAAGAGCATTGAGCACTGTCTATATATATATATATATATATATATATATATATATATATATATATATATATATATATATATATATATATATATATATATATATATATATATATATATATATATATATATATATATATATATATATATATATATTTATATAACTAATAATATAATTTAACCAATAAAATGAAAAATGTATGTCAAGCAAAATAACAACTTAAAATAACAAAATAACATTTCTGAAAAGTAAAACAAAATAACAAAATAACATTTCTGAAAAGATGTTTAACAAAATACAATAAAACATATTTAACACTAGGGGCCTTTCAATGTTCTATCAGTAGTGCTAGTTTATGTGCTGTTATGCAAAAAAAAAAACGATTTTTATGTGAAAAAGTATAATTTTAACCAATTAAGGTATTGTTGCTACTAGTTACTATCGCTAATGTCTTTTAAAAAAGGAAGTGTTAGTTAAAAGTATCATGTTATTGTTTATGCAAATCACTTTCATACGATAATAAGTTTTTAGCACTTTTAAGTTCTAGAAAAACAAAAAGTTGGAAAAAGCGGTTTCGTTATTTTATTGTTTATACGTTGACAACCATAGACATGGTTGTCAAATCTGTCAGTTGAATAGCCGGTTTTGAAACTTGATATATGACCATTTATGCGATTTCTTAAATTGTTTGTTTTTCTAGTATATGTTGCTTAGCCATTACACGATAAACATTTTAAATAATAAATTACGTTCTTGCTGTTTCAAGTAACACGACTTATAATGGTCCAGATACTACCATTGGACGTTTCAAAATTTTTTACCTCTTACAGGTAAAATTTACAAATTTTGCAACATCTATAATTACATTTAAAAATTCCTATATTTTTATTGTTAGGTGGTACTGAATTAAATTTAGCAGAAGTATGTTGTCTCACTAAATTAGGTAGTTGTTTGTACGCTATAACAGAGTTAATATTAGTAAAGATTTGTTGTATTCTTTCACTAGAGGATTGACTGAGTAGAAGATTAGTTCTAGTCAGTATAGGCTCGCAGTTTATATTACTGTATTACTGTAAAATGTAGTAACTTAAGGAAAGATTTCTTTAGCTTTCTTTTGATGAGCTGGTCCTTGCAATTTTGCATTATGAAATGCTTTTTTAATAACATTGTTTGGGTAA